CTGTTCTTGTTTTTCGTGTTGTTGAGCCACAGGGTGCAGCCAATGTTGTAGGGGTGCTTTATGCTTTCTTGCTGGGAGGGCTATCAAGGAGAGGAAAGCTTGGGTGATATATGGCTCATTCCTTCAGCTGAAGCAGCTCCTGGCCTCAGAAGACAACTGGTTCTTACTGGGGTGTGTGAGGTCTTCTACTGCCCACACTGTGCAGGCTAACATGAGCCAAATCATGGCACTGGTTCTGCAGCAGTTTTTCTGTAAAGAAATTGCCCAGCCACGCCTTGGCCTCCTGTTGAAGCATGAGTCTGGAGAGAGCTGCCAGAACATCAGGCTGTTTTTCAAATTCGGAATGTTCCTGGCTGATGGCAGTGCAATGAAGTACATATACAGCTGCAAAGGAGATTCAGGAAGCAAATTTTGCGTGATGTGCCGAAATGTCAGAGCACCTCTTCAAGAGGAACTTGAGGATGAGAATGACATGCTCGGGTCTGATGTGCGTACCCTTTCACAATGTCAGCTTGCAACAAACCAGGAAGTGCTACAGGCTTACCAGAGGTGTGCTGCCAACCAGACGGCCATGAGCAAGAGAGCATTTGATGACTGGCAGCAGGCGTGTGGAGTCACACACAACCAGCATTCCCTTTTTTTGTGCAAACAGCTGCAGAACGTCTTGCAGCCAATCAGCCAGTGGTGCCACGATTGGATGCACGCAATGGCTTCACAGGGGGTTATGCAAGTAATGATATACCTGCTGTGTGCAACACTGGGTTGGGAAAGCATGGAGACTTACTTGAAGCTGTGGACCTTGCCGGCTACTTGGCAAAAGGCTGGCTCCTTGCCTGAGCTCTTTTCAAGCAAGAAGGTCAAAAGCTACAAGGAAGCCAAGAAGTTCAAGTGCAGCGCGTCAGAAACACTGAGCTTATGCCCTCTTCTTGCTTTTTTGGCCGCGCATGTGTTCGTGCCCAAGGGCAGCCATGTGCTGGAATGCCAAGCATTCCTCAGCATGAATCGGGTCTTGGAGCTACTACAAGCTTCTGACAGAGTGGCTCCCCCCGTCCTTCAAAAGCAAGTGGAATTTGCATTGCGAAAAACAAAGGAAGCTGGCTGGTCCAATTACATGACACGAAAGTTTCACTGGCTGTTGCATCTAGCAACATCACTGCAGCTGCATGGCGTTTTGCCCTCTTGCTGGTCACTGGAAAGAAAGCACAAAGTATGCTCCCGATATGCCACTGCCACCACAAATTTGTCTGTCTATGAGCAAAGCATCTTGGAGGAGGTCCTTGCGCATGATTTGCACTCACTGAAGCACAGCGCAGTGTTCCAGCAGTGGCAGCAGGGTGCGTGCCTAACGAAGCCTCGCGCTGCCAACAAGAAGCTGGCCCTGCGCATTCGCATGACTTTGGGCATGGGAATGCCTGATGACTGCATCCATGTGGGCAACCAAGCCAAGCTGCGAACTGGTGCTTCTTGTCAGGCAAAGGATGTTGTGCTCATGGCTGGCAGCCAGCAGGGCCAAGCTTGGGAGGTTGCAGCCATCTCCCTACATTTCCAAGTGGGCAGTATTGTGTACAGTATTGTTTCTCCCTTTACTCTTGTGGAATACTGTGCAAAGACTTGCTCAGCCTTGGTCAAAGAAACAGGTGAGCTGGTTCTGGTGCAAACAGCAGACTTGCTGACACCTGTCGCCTTTTGCCCCAGCAAAGATGGGCTGAGGGTGCTGGTGCCTTGGGCCCACAGGCCGTGAAATGCATGACGGGGCCAACTTGCAAAACAGCAATGCTTTTGCATCGGCTGTCAGCCTTTCCAGGCTTATTGCTGTCTTGTTGACTCATGCCAGGCTCAGCCTTTTCAGGCTTGAGACATGTGCTGTCAGCCTGTTCAGGCTACACATTGGCATTCAGCTTTGGGGGGCTGTCAGCCTTTTCAGGCTTTTTGGCTCAGCCTTCATAGGCTTTTCCTATTGTTCTCAATGTGCTTGTCAGGCTTCGAAGGCTGCTCACTAAGGAAATTTGCAACTTTCCCGGGCTTATATATTTCAGCTTGAGTGCTGACTAAAGTCTATATTCAAGCTTAGCTAACTACTTAGGAAACACTTAGTTAACTACTTAGCTAACTTGTTATAAGTCGTTAGCTAACCATCATAACCATGCTAAGTCACTAGTAAGCACACAGCCGATCCAAGAATTGTTTTGGCGGAGGCGGTGAAGGAAAAGGAGCTGAGCTTGACACACCGACCAGGAACCAAACTGTGGGCAGATGCGTTGACCAAGTGCCTGCCTGCTGGACCGTTGGAGAGGTTTCGGAAGGGCATTGGGCTCTACAGCGAGAAGAAGGAGACGCAGGGAGGAGAGAATGACCTTAGAGAGGCGGTGGTCAAAGGTGTGGCCGCGGTGGCGGTGGGAGGAACCCTTTTGTCGATGAGGAGGTTGGCTGGTGGACCGCCGGAGATGGGCGAGATTGGTGGTGCTCTCTTGGCAGGAGGGCTCATGGTGCTGCTCAACCAGGTGAGGAGCGTGGGGATTCAGAAGGTCCGGAACCTGGTTAGAGAAAAGGTAGAAAGGAAGTTGGAGGGGGGCATGAGGAGACTGGGGGTAAGACCGGGGAGTTTGTGCTCGTCGGCATTCGCGGAATCCAGCCCTACGGCGTCCTCTACCTTGAGCTCTTCGGCAAGGTCAAGCCCGAGCCCTACGGCGTCCTCTACCGTGAGCTCTTCGGCAAGGTCAAACCCGAGCCCTACGGTGTCCTCTACCGTGAGCTCTTCGGCAAGGTCAAACCCGAGCCCTACGGTGTCCTCTACCTTGAGCTCTTCGGCAAGGTCAAACCCGAGCCCTACGGTGTCCTCTACCTTGAGCTCTTCGGCAAGGTCAAACCCGAGCCCTACGGCGTCCTCTACCGTGAGCTCTTCGGCAAGGTCAAACCCGAGCCCTACGGTGTCCTCTACCGTGAGCTCTTCGGCAAGGTCAAGCCCGAGCCCTACGGTGTCCTCTATATACCTTGAGCTCTTCGGCAAGGTCAAACCCGAGCCCTACGGTGTCCTCTACCGTGAGCTCTTCGGCAAGGTCAAACCCGAGCCCTACGGTGTCCTCTACCTTGAGCTCTTCGGCAAGGTCAAACCCGAGCCCTACGGTGTCCTCTACCTTGAGCTCTTCGGCATGGTTGAACTCGAGCCCTACGGCAACTTCGTCCTGGAACACCGCGAGAGGGTCAGACGCGAACGCTGTGACCTCCCAGGATCAGAAGCCGGTGGAGTGGTTGGAGCCGAGCTCTGTGGAGTCTGGGAGGCGGAGTAGAAAAGGGTTGAGGGGGACTTCCTCGACTACCGGTGGTGGAATGGGTATCCTGGTGGCGGTTGCGACGTTGAAGGTCGAGGGGGCGGAAGCCCAAAGTGATCAGCAGGTGGAAAACGCTTCCTGGGCGTTGACGGTCCTGGTGGTGGTGGTGGCGATCATGTCGGTGATCTGCTACAAGCTGGTGGAGGAGATGGTGAAGGCGATTCTGCAGCAGCGGAGACGTGGAACCGTGGAGATCCTGGTGGAGAACCGGGAGGTGCAGACGACGTCGGAGGAGACGGAGCAGGAGATCAGAAGGCGCGTGTGGGAAGAGGTCAGGCGGGATCTTCGCCTGGAGCGCCTTCAGCAAAGGCATCGTGAGGAGCAAGAGATGGAGGAGGAGGACTTTCGGGTGGAGAGTCGCTCGGCGAGTCAGAGCTCGGAGTCTTCGAGCAGTGGGGTTCGCCTTCGGCAGAGGAGGCATGACACGCCAAGGCCGATGGGGAGCATCGTGGAGACCCCGATGGCCAGGCAGGAAGAACCGCAGCGGGAGCCGGTGGAGCTGTATCACCTCACGCACATGGGGGAACGGTACCACTGGAACCGAGAGTGCTGGGGATTGAGGCAGGCGACGATCAGGGGCATGAGGTCCCTGCTGCCGTGCCCGAACTGCTGGCTGGGAATGAGGATGCAGAGGGATCGCAATGCCACGGCGTGGAAGGGAGAGGATGGCCGGCTGCATTCGACCCCGACCTGCGTGCCGATGATGGCACACTTCAGGAGCATGCCGCTCCGGCCTTGCAGGTTCTGTGTCAACGGGGTGGTGGAGGACCCGACGGTGTGAGAAAAAGGCTTGAGCAGTGGTAGGTGTTTTGGATGAGACAGCCGAAAAGGGGCTGAATCTCGATGCCGTGTGAGCACTTGCTCCATGGTCTTTGATCATCGCGCGGAGTTCCCTGACCCGTCAGGGAAGGGGAGCCCATGCGCCGACTTCCGATAGCCTTTTTGGATGAGAAACAGAAGATTTCGCTTTTTAGCTTCTGAGGTTATAACTCCATACAGTAGTTGTTATCTGATCAAGTCTCCACTGGAAACTGCTCTGTACACAGTCCCCAAGCCCGCAATCAAGGGATTCTGGTTGTTATAATAATTGCAGGCCTCAGGCTGTGGAGTAAGATCATGGCGTGTGATCTGTTTTCGGGATGCAAAAGACGCGCACAATCTCCGCAGAGGGTTCACTTTCATCTTGCAATGCTCAAGGATTCTGTCAGGAAGAGTACTGAGTATTGCAATACTCCCGCTTTCCACTCATTCCCTGTTGGATCCTCATCTTGCAATACTCAATGTGGACTTCGATGAAGACCTTCCTTTTGCCCTATGGCCAAACAGCGCGCAACAACTGGAATTGATTGGCTTTTCAAACACAACTCGAATGCACAAGTTGTGATCGGTGCTGGCAGGGAATGAGTTGCATGGAATGAGCCCAAGCAAAACCATAGTGGCGGTTTCCTAGAAGATTCCTGGGTTCATTCCCACATTCCTTGCTCTAGGTCCTGCAAAGAGGTTAGAACAAGTTGGTGCCAACTTATTTTCGGTTTGGTCTATTTTAGGCAGGGGAAAAAAAGGGGTGAAAAAGGGGCACCGATCGCTGGGGGACCTAGTTACTTCTCGCAGCAAGAGAAGACAAGGGCACAGCACCGGCCCCATCCAGCGGTTTCCTTGCTGCCACGGGGCCGGCAAGTGCCGTCCAGGGCGCCCGGGGCGCGAAAGCAAATGGAGTTGCCAATCTGGGCGAAGGAAAGCGGAGAAGCCGGAGGGAGTTTTGAGACTGGGTGAATTATAATATGTCACCAAGCTGAAATAAGGTGGCTAGGGGAACATTTCCCACATCAACCACCATTTGGGGTGAATTCGGTCGTGTGAGGTCGCTATAATTCACCCAGAGACTTCAGGTGTGGAGAGGGTGGGAGTTGGGGTGAGGTTCGTCTCCAAACCATTGGACTCCAAAAAGGGCCGTGAGAGCAATGAACAAGATTTTTCCGTCGGGCTGGCTTGGGGGGGGATTTGATTTCAATCATCTTTGAGGGGAGAACTGGCAGGTTGAGCCAAGCCACATCTGTTTGCAGTCAATGGCCTTTACGAGTGGGGTTGCCCCAAGTTTCTATCCAAGAGGTTCTTAACAGGAAGGCGGGCGGAGCCTGCTCCAGCTTCTTTCATCTAGTCCACACAAAAGAGGACCCGAGACCCTAAAGAGAAATCCAGGAGTCACCTCCCTCTCGCATCCTTTCGCCCATCAATCGCTTGCAACTGCCTTTCCGCTGAGCACTTGCACTGATTGCGCAAGTCATGTCGAGCCTTGCACACCTTGGACTCACAATCCCTCTTACTTGCAGCGACCCGGCTTTGAAGGGAATGAATTGCTCGGTCAACTTTCCTCATGCTGAGACCCCATCGGACCCTAGTTCTCAAACTTCTCAGGGTCAAATCCATCTCCTGTTGCGCAAGCCGTTGGGAGCCTCCGATGGCCCTTACGCTTCAGCATGGATAGCCACAATCTTGCCACTTGATTTCTGAGGTGCACGCATATGTGGGATCGCCACTCTCGCCTTTGGCGTGGCTGATCGTCTTGCACTGCTCGTCCTGCGAGGCATCTACGGACGCTCTTGCTCATGAGACACTCTTGGTCATGAGTCCAGAAGAATTGTTCAAAGAAACATGGCAGTCTACAGGAAATGGGGTCTTTCCTCAAATAAGGGATCCCCTACAAATGGCCGATTCACCGTGACGATCTTTCAACCAGCCAACAAATTGGGGCTCACAATTTTGGGTCTATCAGCCGAGAGACTAGCTGTGCCATGCTGCAAACGATGCAACATAATTCAATGGTCACAGCACAACACCCATCTTTGATAGTGCCACAAGTTCGGGCAATGCTGTGAATTCATGTGGAACCCCGAAACAATGCAAGTGAACCCAGCCACACTCAATGCTTCTGGCTTCAGTGCCCAAGGGCTTCTTATTTCTGGCCAGTTCCTGCTGAACGCTTTGAAGCCGCAGAACGATGAACCAAACTGCAGTCACAAGGCTCCAAAGCCGAAGACCTTCTGTGCTTACATCTTCCTTCCCTAAAGATCCCAACAGCCAAGATTGCCACCCGCGCAGGCAATCCCCGCCATGGTGCACCAAAATGAATGTGAGAGGGAACTAGCGCACATACATGAACTACACTTTGCAAGGTACCCGTTCCTCAGGGGACAGGCAAATAGTTGCAGACATGGTTATTATTGCTGCAAGCAATACCCCCTTGAGGAAGTGAGCAGAATAAGAGAAGCTCCGCTGCTGATAACCTCTCAGAAGTTGTGGCATCGTTAGGTGATGCCCATGCTGCGACTAACATACACAATCTAGCACAACATAGCGTGTGGCCTGTGCATCTTCGCAAGTCAACCACAAGGGAGGGAAGACCTGGTGTACGTAGCAGGGAATATCGGATATCGTGCATCAAGAGCTCGTGAGTTGTGTGAATTCGGGCGAAACCATGAATGAGAGTTAATTGGGGCACATTTGACTTTGGAACAGCAGACACATGAAACAGGTCCACCGGCAAGTTGCTGAACCAAATAGAGCGCAAGGCGACAGGCAACCAACAGTATCGTCCCAATGTTCATGGAGAAATTGCAGCGTGCTGTCTCATTTGTTAGCAGGTGGTGGTACTTGGGTGCCGGCTAACTTAGTAAGTCTAATCTGGGTCATGACCCACTCATAGGTCCCTCCAAGTGGAGTTCACCCTGTCATTAGTGCTGTTTTTCCCCAGGTGGCTAACCACTTACTAGCTTGGCAACGAACATTCACGTAGCATACACAATGAACCGGGCGAAACAACAGCACTGACTCTGTGTCCTCCCGGCAGTAGCCAGTCCACTTCTTCATGCACTGGCCCTTGACCTTGCGCGGAGATCGCATGCGCAGAAGTGCAGATGGAGAGTTGGCATACCATGGATGGACGAGATCAATTTCGCACCAAACGGAAACCATAGAAAACCAGTGTTTATTGGTATTTACAGGGGGATTCATCATTCCAGGGTTTCTCAGCTGGTGCGAAATGGATTTCCTCCATCCACGGTAGTTTTGCGGGATCAATTCCTGCCTGTTCTACTGGATCACCAGAATATCACCAATTGCAGAGCCTGGACAATCCATGCTTGTCTCACGCATCCGTCAGCCTCAGAAGCTCGTCACGACAGTTCGCACAAGGCAATGCTCAGAATGCAAATGTCTCTTACTCGGGTTGTGCCAGGCCGACTTGCAGCAACCTTGCAGCTCTTTCAGCCGGAAAGGATCAGGCAGCGCGTCCGGGTTGCTATGAGTTCCCAACGTGTGCAACCCTGACTCAACTGAATCCACTCCGGCGGATCTCACCGGACCAAATGCAATGAACCATGGCAAAACAAACATTCAACACCAGAAGCAACAAACCGGTTTTGGAGAGGACACTGTACCTGAGGAGCCACAAAGACGGACGCCTCGAGAACCGAGCCTTTGGGTTCACTTTCCTGTAGCTGCCTTTGGCATTGCTGCAACCGTGCGTGCCATGTACTTGGTAACCATGAGCCCCATTTTGACTGTCTTTCCACACTGAAACATGCAAAGACGTGCGGATAGAATATCAGGAACCCGTGCAGGAATGGGGGGATGCCTTTTACCTCCTGTGACAAGCTTGCAACCAACACTTCGGCGAGTAAGGAATCGTCCCTACCTGATGTTGTATCACATTTCGCCTTCGTTAGCACTCGCTTTCCGGCGGTCGCCCCATTCTTTGCCGCAAATTCTCGCCTCAGGGAAATCTCACTCACAATTTTTGGCCCACCAAACGACCAAAACAAGAAACACCACTCACATGTCTGGGGAGAGCTTAGATTGGGGGTCTCAGACGTCTACAACTTCTAGGTCCTCCAGTGGAGAGGTTAGAATCAGGGCATACCCACCTTTCTTCTGTTTTGTCTGTTTTAGGTGGGGGAACCCAAAACCAACCGAAAAAGGGGTGAGAAAGGGCACCACCCCCAAAAAAATCCCCCCAGCCCTAAGCCCAAGACCTCCCAGCCCTTGGCGTTGTGGGTGTCAATCTCAGTGCCTTCCTTGCCTGGTGGCCAAGGCAACACGTCTCAAGTGGATTTTCTGTTGGATAAGTTGAAAGCCAAAGCAAGCCTACCACCTTTCGAGCCCCGCCAAGCTTCAGGGATTGGGAATGGATGGCAGTCCTGGTTGAGTTTCTCCAGTAGAGAGGATAGAATAAGGGTACCAACTTTTCTCTGTTGTCTATCTTAGGGGAACCCTCCCAACCAAAGGGTTAAAAGAGCGGGCACCAATTGGACCCAGCTGGGGGAACCGGGAGGGTCGCTGAGGTTCACAACTTACCCCGGCCCAAGTTAGGTGGCACAATTGAGGTAGCTTCCCCCAAAACGCCCGAAACGGGCTACAGCATTCCCAACAAGCGCGTACCAAGGGACTTCTAGACTTGTCGACATGCTTGTCTTTTGTCAAGTGACAGATTGATCTTTGCGAAAGGTGACACAATTCAGGAGAGGAATGCAAACAAGAAAACACGATCCACCAACTTCTTGGAGTATCCTTTGCCTTGTGCGCCAAGGCCAAATCATGGCGACTTCAAGGACAAAATTCAAGCCATGAATTAAAGGTTCCGGGCCTAAAAGCTGGAGCTCCGCGAAGAGATTCTCAGGGCTGCGCCCGTGAAACCGCAAAGTGTCACACAGCTGTCGCGGACTTTTCGGAGAATTCTTTCCGAAGCCAAAAAAACCAAGGGGCAAAACACACGCGGCTCAAACTGATCCATCAAGCTGCCAAAGAAACGCAGCATCTGCAAAACAGCTCCAGCGGGGCCTCTGATGCCAAGCGCCCCTTGCTCACGAAAGCTGGGTGTCCCGGCAGAAAAGGGGGCAGTAGCCATCTGCGTCCTGCTTGCACATTGGTCTTGAAAAAGGCATGAACGGCTTCTGCAAACCGGGCAACAAAAAAGACACACATGGTTGCGGCATGATACCGCAAAGTCGGCTAGTAAGAAAGCAGGGCTCTCAAACTCTTGCCTTGGGCATGTGCCCCAGGTGCGTTCCCACAGCAGCCAAGCAACGATTCCAAAACCAAAGCCTCAAAGCAACATAGGCTTTGTGCGCTTTCGCCCGAGCATCCGCATCCATGCGACGTTAGCGGGCAGTGTTCGAGGAACTTTTGCAAGCCGGTCTTCCGTTTTTTGTCTCCTGGTTCACGCTGACCGGAGAAAGGAGAAATCCTCCCTTGTGCTGAAGCCCACGCCCCAAAAAAGCCAAACTCATTGCACGACCAAATCATTGAGAAGCCCGGCCTCGACACAGCAGTCTTCGCTGGACCTGGGCCAGAGCCTTTCTTTTTGTGGCCATGGCTGAGGTCTTGTTCCCAAGCTGAGCCTGGACGAGCCCCTTTCGTTATTCCTGGGGCTGTGTCCTGGTGGGCTTGCACTTCGCTTTCCTCAAGGCTTCTTGGACAGTGTCGGGTGCCCAAATGAGGGGGGTACCCCGAAACTGGGCGGGGTCCATTGGTACTACTATTGAACCCCGCCCCCCCCCCCCAATGGGTATACTGAGGAAAGCTCCCTTCGGTATGCATTTCCGGGTCGCTTGGGATGCTTGCCAAACTCATCCAACACTTATGGATTTCAGAAAGGGAAATCTTGGAAGGGCAACCCTCCTTCGACCTGGCTTGGCTCTGGTGGATTTGACTGGTGCAACCGCTTGCACTTGCGGTCTAACTCACCTTGTCTTCACAGTCTTGGACTCGGATCGCTTTCGACTCATTGACTGAGGTCTGGCGGTGACAGAAAAGAATGCAGCCTAGCCTAGGTCCTCCAGTAGAGAGGTTCGAATAAGGGTACCTTTTTCTGCAGTCTAGTTTAGCAGGGGAACCCTCCCCAAAAAAAGGATACAAGGGCACTACTGGGGAAGCTAGAAGCCTCTGACAGCTTGCCCCGTGCAACTTTTGAAGGCTACTCACGTAAGCCGCGCTCCTCTTGCATTACCCTCTTGCCTGCAAATCAGTGAGCCGCGGCCGAACATCCAGACAAGCGATTTCCCTCGCAGGTTCCCGAAATTGGGCGGATCCGGAAAGCCTCAAAACTTGAAGTGTCAGATTTCTTATGGGTCACGGTGGACCCCAAAAGAGAAGGGCCATTGCCCCCCGAAATTTGGGGTCCCCGTAAACCGGAAAAACAAAACTGTGTGCACTCTTGGGGCCAATTTTCGGAGAGTAACATGGAATAGGTCATTTATGAAAAGTGGTCCGAACCTGGACTGTCCTTTTTCAGATCCCCCGCTCAAAGTTTAACTCTTCGTGGGTTGCATTCGGAACCTCAACCACTATACCAGCTAAAACCCTTAAACACCTCAAACAAAAAACACCCAAAACACCCAAAAGCCTTAAACAAAAACACCAAACAAAAACCAAACACCTAACAACCACCTAAACACCAACAAAAACTTAAAACACCCAAACGCCTCAACCCCTAACCCCAAAAGACCTAAAACCGCTCCAGGAACCGGATGGCCGAGCCAAGGAACCCAAACACCTCGGCTCCGGGCCAGCACACGCCGCCCTCCTTGGAGACCACCCGCTTGGGCACGTCCTTGTCGGCCTGAAGCTTTTCCCCGAAAACCGAGGGGTAGTTTAACATGGTCGAGACACTGCGGATGGGCGAAATCCGTTTCGCACCGCCTAGGAATTTTCCCTCTAGGAAATCCTGGTTTCTGACGATTGCCCTATACCAACACATATTGGTTTCCCATGGTGTCAAAGTTGTGGAATTAAACAGGTGGCTGTGCTGCACCCATGTTTGGCAAGGGGATTCTCCATTGCCAACCTTCATCTACCCGAATCGGTTCTGAGAGCAAGTGGCTCAGTTGAGACAACCTGCTCAATCACTCTGCCCCGCAGTGCCCAGGCCGTCGACACCGATAGGCACATCGGCAAGCACTGGACTGGGATTTGCCTTCGGGAGCATGACGTATCTCTCTGGAAAGGCGTCTACGGGAATGGAATGGTCTCTGCAAAAATGACTTCCCGTGGATGGAACAGGTGTGTCTTCATCCAGCAAATAAGCAACTACGCCAATGTGAGGATGATGCTCCTATAGCCTGAGGCTCAAAAGCGTCTAGATGCCTGTCGCTGCAGGCCACTCGCAAGCGCGCTGTGAGTTCTAGTAAGAGTCAATGACGCGAGTTGGGGGCCAAAAGGTGGCGTCTCCTCTTTCAGAATGTGGGAGGAGATTTCAAGCTGAAGTCCTCTTGAGAGCACCCAGTTACCTCGACGTAGTTAGAATTCTGCGATAATATTGTCTTCCCAGGCACCACACCCGAAAGTCGAACCCGCCGTACCCTCCTTCCGCTTCGGCGGATTGGCCCACCCGTTTCTCTGAACGCCAAGCGTCCGTTGCCGCGGGCGCGTGGACCTGGACAAGATTGTGACACATGGCCACATTTCATGCAGGGACACCCCCATTAAAGGGACACCCCCCATATTGATAAGCATTTTTTTCCTGGGGTTTATTAACCTGGGGTCTATTAACCTGGGGTCAACATTCGAGTTAGAGCGCTCGACTTCGTTTAGCAAAGCAAGCTCTTTCCTGAGCAAGGCCCTCAAAAAATAAGGTGAACCTCACCTTGGTTTAGATAAAAGCTTCCTTGAGTGAAGAGAAGACGCCCTCCAAAACAGAAAAGTGAAAACTCAGCTGTAGCCCGAGAACCAAGTGGTCAAAAGGTAGAAAACCGTTACCCTTACGGACTCATTGGGGATTGTCGTGGTTCCACAACTTCGCAAGCTTGTGCCATCCTCAGGGCGCCTTTCTGGTAAACCGAACGGTGGCGTTAGAATAAGGGTACCCTTTTTTCTGTAGTCTATTTTAGTAGGGGAACCCTCCCCCAAAAAAGGGGTGAGAATGGGCACTACTGGGGGACCTAGGAGTCATTGGCCCCAGATGATTCGCTTCGGCAAGAGGTTGGACGCCCAGGCGCCCGCCTCGGCGGTTCGAAACAAGAAAAAATACGCCTGATAGCGAGGACTAAATGGGCGTGGATCAAAAAACAGGGTAACCCCATTTTGGGTTGCCCTGGCAAATGGACACCAAGCCATTCAAACTTGCGGTCCGATTCCTGGTGGTTTCATTTTGACCCACACCCAAATCAGGACCTGCTTCAGGCAGCGTGAGTGACCATCATTCACCTAGACCGATCAGGGAGATAGCGGTTTGGATAAGTATCTGCCAAGTTGGAACTGCCCTTGGGATTGCAAAGGAGTCCTCTTGATGGGATCTGTCCAAGCATGTCCCGGATCAAATTACGGGAGTCATAGAATTGGGTGGTAGCCGCGAATAGGCAGGCAACCTCGCAACGACAAAGTTCATTCGGTGTTAAAACATGGCAGCTTCCCATTGACTAGCAATGCTGAGGGGGTGTAGCAGGATGAAGTGTGATGTTTCCCGGGTACGTCATCATGTCAATTTTGTTATCTGGGCTGCCCTCAGATCCCCCGCAAAAGTTTAACTTTTAGTGGGTCAAATGGGAACCCCCCCACTAAACACAAAAACATCTAAAAAGCTAAGGGAATGGCTGGGAGTCACCAAGTTATGGCCTACCACTTCATTTGCTTTCAGTTGAAGGAATGTTGCCACTGCACTGCCCGGTGCTTGTAGTCGGCTTGTAAACATATTTAGGGCAGGACACAAGTCATCTCTCTGGTTTTCCTAGCGACAAATCTCTGGCACACAGCTGGTGCAACCGGAAAGCAGCAGTCTGCATGTGCACAAACACCTGTCATGTGAATTAAGGACAGTCATAGAATTAAGGACAGTCGTACACTTGCCTTTGCAGAGTCACGATCATTATCCAAATTCATTATTTTGTTTGAGCTGTCATGGTGTCTAAGCTTTCACATTCGCCAAGGCGCCCAAAATTCTGACCAGCCTGCTGATCCCCGCACACGGACTGTATGTGATATAACGCCGGCCCGCCGCGCCTTTGTTTGAAGCAGCTGCATGTCTATCTGTCCAATTTCTTGCTCTTCGGCAAGCTCTACATCTGCCTGACAGGCGTTTTCAGACCGCGACTCAATCAAGGAAGGGGCCGGGTGAGTTTATCCGGCCTTTCAAAGGACTCCCAAACAGGGTCCCCGGATCTGCAAGTGGCCACAGCCAATCTGGGCCACCTTGCGGTAACGTAGAAATCCGCGGGGGTGGTCTGTAGTTTTTTTGAAGGGGCTTTCAAATTGTTGCGCCAAATCTCAAAAAACAGGGTGGGCAACCTGGTCAGCTTCAGCAAATTGTTGGGCTCTCGTTCAAGACTGGTAGGTTGCCCCATACTGATCACCGTCACAGGATGTCAGCTGAAACTGGTCCCAGAAATCTTCCACTTGCTTAAGGCGCCTGGAAAAGCAAACACAACATGTCCAGTAGAGATAGGTTTCCTTTAAAACCAACCATGCAAATTTCACAATCAGCAAATGGAAGCCAGTGGTGATGCTGATGATTTTGCCAGCGATGGTGATGATGATTCAATGATGGTGGTTGAGATGATGATGATAACGAGGATGATGGACCACTCCAGCCCGGGAGAGACCATGGTCCGTTCAACCACCAGCCATCATTGAGATGCTCCAACCTGTTTGGCTCCCTTGCCATCTCCCAAAGTGTGCCTGGGTGCCTAGCGCTTTTTGGATATGCCATTTTTGTATTGGGCAAACCCGCTTTGGCTTCCTGATTGAAACAGCTCAAGGGCGACAAAGAAATAAATACCATGGGTATGGGATCATGTTCTCTCCCAAATGTACCACAAACTTCTGGATATTTCGAGCGAACCTCATGCAAAGATCTTTGATGAATTGCTGGAAGACACCAGCACTGCCGATTGAATAATAATGAAATGATATCAACTAGTCCTTCCTTTAGTCATGGATCTGGGGAGTCCATTTCGTAACATCCCTGGAACCGCGCCTCGGTCCGCGCGCACTGACCATCACAGGATGGACCTGAGGCTGAAAATGCCAGGCAGCACGCCCCCTCAGTGGGAGGAACCTGTTACTGTAAATGGAGTTCCAGGGGTCGAAATCCCCCCTCCCCAAATTCCAAGGTGGGGATCCTGGCAGCGCGCTGGTTGAGCCGCACATGAGAACGCAGTCCGTAAAGGGGCCAAAGGCGTCAAATGAAAGCCAAGGCAGTTTGAATCTTGGTTGCTGCAACGACTTGGCAAAAAGTTGAACACTTGTGGCTTAAGCTCGACAAATCCAATTGACTTCCAGGAACCTCGCTTCCGCAGAGTGTTCGCCCGAGTTCGCCCGGGTCAACAGGTTTGGATGTCAGTCGCTAGCCGCAGGATGGGACCATGGGCTCTAGAGCATATGTTGCAGTTTGATCGGAAAAGAAAGTCAAGGCAACACAGAAACAACATGGAACATACACATCCATCATTGAACTACATCAAAAAAACAAACAAACATAATTTCAATGGATGTGGTTCATTTTGCGGCGTAAGAGCGTGAAGCCACACGCCATCCAGTCCGAGTTTCACATAAAACACCTTCCATGAAACCGATGTTCCATCAATTCGAAGGTTCTGAAAGCAGCTTAGCCTGAAAGGAATCCAGGACATGACCCGACACTCACAGGCCCATGTTCAGAAGGCGTCCTGCGAACTCCGAGGATTTGCTGGACGCGTTCGAAATGCTTAAAATGGACCGCCCACACAGTGAATTCCGATTCTTTTCTAGACTGGGCCCTGAAGAGTGGCAGGACTCGTGAAGCTGCTCCCAAGAGAAGGAACAGCCCCTAAGATGATCGCATGGTATCCCGAGCCCTTCCCCTCACAGAATCTCCAACCGTTGGCAAGGCCAGACATGGGAAATCAGTACGGCCTGACCGATTGGGGGTCCTCAGGGAGATGTTCCCGGTCCCAAGCGCCACTCGGTCTTCCAACTTGGGGCAAAAAGTACATAGTTGAGGGGGATAGCCTGCAGGAACTCCTATCATTTGTAGAATGCCGGTGTCTTGTGCTTGAAGTTGATAGGTATGATGGCGTGCAAGCCTGTATTTTTCTTGTCCACAGCAAAGTGTCAAACCTTGAAACTATTGCGTATGTGTGAGCTCGGTACCCTGGGTATTGAACCAATATTCATTGCCTGCAACACCGCTTTCAAGTATGCGCAGGCCAAGGTCAATTGTTCACTATCACGTGCTGTAGCAAAGAGGATGACACGGGGTAAACTCACCCCAGACTACATGCGGGTGACTCACCCACATCCAATGTCAATTGCCACGCTGATCATTGACCAATCAATGCAAAACCCGCCCGGGTCCATGCATCCTGCTGTGCCCGGTTTTAGTCAGAGTCAGCTCTCAGTGTATCTGATTTGTTCGATGCGCAGGCTCGGGAAGTCCAAAGCTTGTGACTTAAAAGAAAGGAAACAACAAGAAAACACGCTCACAAACAACATGTTGTGCTTGACTAGGTCCTCCAGTAGAGAGGTTAGAATGAGGGTACCCTCCTTTTTTTGTAGTCTGTTTTAGTCGGGGAACCTCCCCCCCCAAAAAAAAACAAGAAAAGAAGGGGGGGGTTCAGGGCACTGCTGTGGGACCTAGTTGAATACGTGGCGTTTTCCCTTGAGGCAAGGGGCCTCACGGCCTACTGGCAGAATGCTTGTCCCTGGCACTCTGGGCCACCCTGCCAGCGGCCAAGAGGGTGGCCCAGCTGGCCTTGAGTTCGCTTGCGGCTCCCATTTTTGCAGTTGTTTGCAGGGCAAACCCCTCCTTTTCACACCTACCAAAAGTGAGTTTGTCACCTGGTTGAATTCGTTGAAACCACTAATCATCTCTTGGATTCAAAAGGATGGGCTTTAGCAAAGATTTCCGATCTACGAAGCCAAACTCCGGGCATGTCGAACCTAGGGCCAGGGCCCCTGAACTCGATGCTTTCTCAAATACGCCCAAGGCAAAAGGTTGGGGTGATTGGTACAGAGGTCGTTTTTTGTTTCTTCTTTTTTTCATGTGATTGGGCTGCCCTCAGATCCCCTGGAACAAACAACAACGGCTCTTGTGGTCGCGGAGGTTCACTCTTTTGCGGGAGACCGGGACATGGAAGTTGGCTTGAAGATCTGACAAAACCGGAATAGATGCTGTTTCCCGGAAGGATTCTTAGACATGATGGGATACTTGGCACTCGGACGAACATAAAGAAAGGGAAACCATCAGCTCAAGATCTCATGCATCCATCGCGGCGCTTTTGCCGACGTCTGACCCACAAGCAACAGTTGGGGCTTGCCAACGAAAGGACGACAGAGTCAAGTCGTCAAGTCTGCGGCATCAAGTCTCAAAGCCTCCAGAAACAGACCCACAAATGCCACCGGTTTCGTTGGTTTTTTTGCTTTGCCCGCTGGAACTCCTAGTAAAAAAACGGGCGTTGACTAGAAATTGGCTCCTTGCCGCTCTTGCAAGCATCAATTTGGCTGACCTCACCGAGGACAACGAGCACTGCTTGTTTCCTTGGAATGCTGAAGGAGTCGTGGCAACTTGTGGCCTGGCGACCTAAAGCAAGCTGAACTGCGGAGCGCCGAAGCATCCTTGGCGCCTGGCCCACAAAAGTTGGAAAAGCATATGGATCGAACCTGGCAGAGAAAGCGAGAGGTCCTGTACTCCAGTCCTTTGTCCAGAACATCCCTTCGAAGTCACCGAAAGCTCCTACAGTACAAGTTCGACAATTGCTAGTGGGACCTGTTGGAGCAAACGGCCTCACGCCTGCTGGCTCAAAACATGACCCCCGCTGGTGAGGTTCGCTTGGGCTTGGGAGCTTTCTGCGCCTAAGTAAGCTTGCCACGGGTCAAATCCCGAGAAATAAGCCGCAAACAACCCAAAGTCCACTGGGGAGAAGCAACAATAACATGTCCAGTGGTGATAGATTCCCTTCAAAACCAACAAAGGGACATGAAGCATATTCATTTCAGCAAATGGAAGAAACATAGCCAGAAAGGGAATCAAACGTCGACACAGCTAAAGGTGCCTCAAACTATTCCATGTTGCTTAGAACAGATTCTTTGAAAGGGCCAGTCAAGGCCGCCCCAACGCATGTCAACTGCCAAACAACATGACACAGCTGATAGCTAAGTTTGGCACCTTGTTCTTGGGTCATGCCACAGGCAGACTGCGTAGAATCTTAGATTTGCACAGATCCCAGCAGCTGTTTAGACACCTCGTTGCCCACACATCATCCGCAACACCGGGGTCCTATGAGAAAACCGGGATGTGCAGCTAACGTGCCAGTCTGGGTGGCGGATTCCGTCCAAATGGAACTCGGAGGCACCGGACATCGCTGGAGCTTTAAAGTCGGTGGAAGCAACTTGAGTCATGTTTGTCTCCCATCGCCGCACTTAGCCTTGGACAAACGAACAAGCGTGGATATGGAGGGAGCGGGGGTATGGGGAGGATTCCCTTGCCGCCATTTCCCATATCAAACTTAGTCAAGTTGCATTTAGGGGAAATCCTCCCGTATCCCTGGTTCCCCCTGTATCCCTGCTAGTTGGTTTCCCTGATAGCCTGCTTAACTACATTTCTGCGTAATTTCCGAATCCTCATTGCAGCACACCAATGGAAAGAAAACACGGCATCTGAGGCGGGTGTATGCGCTTCTGAAGTTCATTGTTGCAGTAAGCCATTCGGCGTGTTGGCCTGCCAAACTACCAATCTCCAGCAGTGACCGCAATGATGATAAACACAATCTGGGAAGAATCTCCTGGTTTGCCAATCATCAACACACCATCTTGCGCAACTGAGTCCATCAAAGTGACATCTACCAGATCCCCCCCCCAACATAGCGACATAGCGGTATAATGAGAAACCACTTGAAACCTCACTTGCCCCAAGCCTGGACATGAAAGGTGATCAGCTCAAAAAATGGTTCCCAACATGGGGAAACCAAAAGATCAAAGCCGGTCGATTCACTTTGGTTGCAAGTCTGGTCCTCCAGCAGAGAGGTTAGAATAGGGGTACCCTTTTCAGCAGTCTATTTGAGTAGGGGAACCCTCTCAACCAAACAATTGGCTAAAAAGTGCACTACTGGGGGATCTAGAAGTGAGTCTTCACAAAAACCTGTCTCCTTTTGCCGAGCCCTGTGTCACCTCGGGTCAAATTTTCAAACATGGTGGGTGCGAGGCGCCTGCGCCCATGAGGAGCACCTAGCGAGGAAGCATCTTGAAAATAGCCATAGGTGTTCCCCCTTCCATTTATGCGAATATTAATTACGCCCCCTGGAAAACACGCGAGAATATGTCCAGTGATAGACTCTCTTTACAATCAGATAGGGACAACACGACATCTTCTGAGCTAGGTCCTCCAGCAGAGACTTGTTAGAATCAGGGTACCAACTTTTTCAGACGTCAGTTTTAGGGGAACCCTCCCAACCAAAGCAGGGGTGAAAGAGCGCACCTAGCTGGGGGCCCTAGTTGATACAGCTCTGCTGAGAATCATGGAATACTGAACTGGGCTGTCCGTTTTCAGATCCCCTGCTAGACGTGACTAACTTTTAGTGGACTTAGACCAAAAACCCAAGGAGACGGCTGGAAGCTGCCAACTTGCCTTCAGGTACCTAGCATCGTGACATCGTGTGCCTCATGCGCGCAGCTCTCTCCCTTGAGATTCTTCAGGCTGGCTGGAGGCTGCTTGCGCATTGTACATGCTAGGGGGTCTGCAACAGCCGAAAAAAGAAGAAGAAGCCAAAGCTGAAGCTGGCAGCCCAGGGATGCCTCTTTCAAGAAGTGCCGTGAGTTGTCGCTGCCATTGCAGCAGGTTGTCAATCAGGCAACAGCAATACAGCCCTGCAACCCGTGTGATCTCTTGCATGACCTCTACGACGCATCTCTGTCGTCACTAATCTGGTGGTGTGTACAGTATGAAGCTTGGGTGCCTTGTGCTAAGAGAAACCAGACGCTGCCATTTCAGTCTGTTGGTGTCGCCCGGTTCGCGATCCACACAGCTTCACCGGAAGCTTGCAATGCGCTTCTGAACAGAAGACCTTCTGCACCGTCCGTGCAAAGCCCGTGCCCTCCCAAAGCGGATGCATGGCAATGCTGCCAGACCGTACACTACCTACGTCCCCCAGTAGAGAGGATAGAATACGGGTACCCCTTTTTTTTCTGTACTCTATTTTCGTAGGGGAACCCTCCCCTAAAAAGGGGTGAAAAAGGGCACTACTGGGGGACCTTGAGTCCGTGCCCCATCGAGCTGTGGCTTTTTGTCCGCTGCTCCCCAAGGAGCGGGGCCCACGTTGTGTCTAGTGAGAACTCCTGTGAAAACATGGTGCTCTGCTTGCGTTGAAACAAACAGCACTCGTTCAAAACCGTGTGTGTTGCACATAGATGGCTGCAACCGCGGCCTTGCAAACCTGGGGGGTTTCTCAAAATGGACCCCGTGTTGGAGGGTTGCTTTTCTCCGGGAAGCCAAAAGGACACCAGCCATAACGGTCGCCAAACAATGGGTCCCATTTGTGTTGCTTGGAGAAACATGCAAAAACGCCGAGCGAGGAACGACTGGAAAGCCAAGCAGTCCAAACTGGTTCTGAGGCGACCACTGAGGGAGGAGGTTTTCCCCTCAGGGCCCTTCCAGCGGCTGAGCCGAAACAGCCACAGCAATCCCACGACGGCCGTAAGGTGCGTCCAATCCCAACGCTTCGTGTAGGAAACTTGTGCCTGCGCTGCAAATGCCTACCAAATGCCGACCAAATATTGGCAGAGGTTATTGATATTCCGAGGGATACGGTGACAACACATGTGGTTTCGATGTCCAGCAAACCCTGGATGACTTAAAACTGTACTCCCAGTATACACGGTTCGAATCCTGGAAGGAAAGCGAACCAATTCGTCAACCTTCTAAACAAAACCGTCCAGCGAGGTGCCGTTTTGTTCAAATAGAACACCTCAGCATGGGGTGCCATCATTACGATGAAAAGGCGCAGGATGGAACAGGCGGGTGTCCTAGCAAGCCTTCTGGATTCCTATTAAGCACCTGCCAAGTGACAAACCTCACATTGACTCGATTTGACTTGCCTGCCATGACAAAGCTTCACATGCCGATTCAGCAACAGGTAACAAGCAAAGCTCTCGATGGAGTAGCACAATCGTTCTTTGTTTGAAACAAAGTTGATAACAGGGCACCAAGATGGCGGACGAAACAAGTTTTCAGACCTTGATTTCTCGACGCGACCAGTCGCCGACAAGCCCCCCCTCAAAAAAAAAACGTGCGATCTGTCTGGTTCGAAGGATAAAATCATTATATAGGCGCGTTTCCCATTTAAAACTTGCACAGTTTGGTCTGGTCCCAAGCTTTGACCAATTCTGATCTCAGGACCGGGTGGCTCCCACAGCGGCCAATCTCAACTCTTGTCCACCCAAGCTTGCTCCTTCAAATGCCACCTGTGATCCAACAGTTACGCATCACATACCTCACATGCAGTCTCCTTGTGTCTTGCCTACTTGCCTAAAAATGCAGCCTCAACAGTTGGTTCAGCCTCCTATTAGGCAATGCGCTGTCCCCTTTTCATCTGTCAAGAGACGGCAAGGTGACGTCCCGTGGGACGCTGTACACCGAACCCTCCAGCTGTAATACCAACCACGTAGAAAGGTGTATACGGTCAAAGCCGTTATAGCCGAACCCGTGTAAACGTTGTAAGGGAGAAGGAATAATAGTTACAACAGTGGTCCTGACAAATGCAGCGCAAGCGAAATGTTTTCCGCTCTCAATTGCCGATCACGTATGAACGCAGCTACACATAAGATCTTGAACCTCACTTGTGTCTTGAGCCAAATGGCGATCAATGGAACTTGGTAAACAACACAAACACGGACCTCAGAACTGCTTCCCATTTTAGGCACGGGGCCTGGAGGGTTTTAACATCCCCCATTTGGGTCGCATTGTTCATCATGCGGTCCAAACACCACAAAACGTTCCACTGGCCACGGCTTCAGCTACGAAACTGTGTCGTGCACTCTTTTACTTGCTATCGCTACACCGTTCATTCATTGTGAAACATGCCGGGTCCGATCGATAAAAAGAAACATGCATCCGCAGATCAGCACGCCCCCATATGCAGGTGTATACAATACACTATTGTCACGTCATTTGACCACCATCGAACATCCCAGCTGCCGCATTTGCGCATCGCGCAGCCGTCATCCATAGAAAATGGGTTGGCCATGGAAGTCCAACAGAGGCGCCTGCTCGTAAGCAATCTGCATATCACCGGCAAAGAAAATATCGGTGAGCAATCAATGCAAATCATAGCCATTCCAGATACCATGAATAATATATATATAATGAAAAGAAATCATCCATGAGGTAATAGTTCCATCCATGAATATCCGGAATGTCATAGTCGTCGGAATATGTAAACGTATACATATCCATTCATCTTGGACGCATGAAATCATATCATGATGTAAAGTCGTTCCATCGCAGCGATGTTGATGAGACGCAAGCAACGGATGGGGACTAACCCACATCGTGCCGCAATCAACATCTGCATCACGCGTACCTGTCCCCAATGGACAGTCGGTGAGTGCGTCGACGGAACTCTTCGTCCAAATTCTTTTGGGCTTCTCGTGCCCGGATACACTTCTTGTTATGATCCTCTGGTATCCAATGCCCTTTTCGGAGGCACCAATCCAGCAGAGGTGTATCGCATTTATTCGGGTCGATGGCCGCAATAATGGCGCTCACATTGACCGAATAACCATGTTTGCCAAGGTTCAGGCCATCCCTCACGAATGATATATACTTACAATTGAAAGCCAGTGAAAGGCATCTGAAAATAATATCACCCACCGGGTGCACGCGGTCCTTGACCAGGAGCTTCATTTCGTCCTTGGTGACGTCGAGGATTCTTGCTGCAATCCATAGCTTGTAGAATGTGTATAATCCCTCGCACTTGCACACCATCATACGAATGTAATCTTCACGCTCCTCAGCCGACCGGAAGACCCTTGTCCGAACATTCTCGGATTGAGTAATCTTCAGTACCGTTGATGGTAAAAGGATCCCTTCCTGATCGTGCTCAGTCATGTTGGGGTACCTCTTGAAGTCGTTGTGGTAAGGGCAGCCCGGCCTCCCCTCGAGTCCGGCATTCAACGTTCTCTCCTCACCACCTTCGAACATCCCCCACATCTTGGACATCTGCAGTGCGATGAATCCCGCCATGTATTGAGCCTCGCGCGGCTCATCAAGGCAAATCGCCATCCGCTGGGAATTTATGATATCCCGTGATGCCAAATCAGTGTCGCGGTAATGCCAACCGCCATCTTCCTCTTCAGACACGTAGCCGGATGTATATCCTTGCGTGTCCATGTCGTCTTCTTCAGGAACTTCCTCCGCTTCGTCATCATCCTCCTGTGCTGCCGCATCATGGTTGGCTTCTTCTTGTGCGCGCCTGGCATCACCCGAGACATTGGGCTTTTGATTGTCCTCATCGTCGTCGGGATTGATGTTGATGTAGAACCTCCCGGTGGAGATCAGTTGCGCTTCACATTCCAGGCATAAGCAGAAGCATGTGGGGATTGCGGTCGCACATGACGGACATATCCGGCATCTCAGTCCTTCCCATGTCTCGTCGTTCAGGATGACGACTTTGCTGACCTCGTCCCTGACCTCGTTGGTCTGCGCATCGAACTCCTCCATCTTGTTGTCCCGATAAAGTTCGCATGCACGATCGACCATGTCTTTGATGTAGTGCAGATTATCGGCACCTGCCTCGGTCTCAGGCATCCTCTCGTTGATCTTTGCGACGTTCTGGAGGAACATCGCAGCCGACTCTTGGGATGAGTTGACGAAACCAGGACAGATCTCGTTCTCCACACATTTCGAGTACGCTCTCTTGATGTCGCCGTACTCCAGGCGTTTCCCTCCGTTGCTTTTGCCAATCCAAATGGACTTGACCTCATAGAACGGGATCACGTCAAAGGCCATGAATGTCCCATTTGCCGCGACTCCAGCTCCATACCGCGCGAGGGTTGCACTGGGAATGTAGATGATCGCAATCGGATCCCCCGTCCTTACGTTTCGTAGCGTCACCTTCGTCGCTACGTTCATCTCATCCCATGGAGCAAATGCTCCGAAGTGCAGTGCTAGCCTGTTTCCGCCATCGATTCCGCCGGGGACTAGCCCACAGCGTACGATGCTTGGCAGGTTTTCCACATACGTCACATGGAATGCTCCTCCGAGAGAATCACCCATGTTCACGGAATACCTATTTGCCAGTGCGGATGAGCTCATGAATCCAAAATCACTGTGACCAGTTGTGACTCGGATGCACCAAGGCCTGTACCATCCATCGCATCTGTTGAACATCCTGTCGATGTCATCCCGATCCAGGCCAGCCTTGGTCATCTCCTCCCTGGCCGCCCTCGTGTCATTCGGGTTCATGATGCTTGGAAACCTTGCTGCCAGGACCTGAAATCTCGATTTCTTATGTCCGGACTCCTGCCACTTGATCACCTCCATGATGCCCATGTATCGTTTTGCTCTCGAAGTTGTGGGTGGGAATATGTCGCAATTTCGGTCGTCAATGACTGCGTCGATGTCGACCCATCCACCTTCATCGCATCTGAAAACACTTCCTCGGCAATTGCCGATCTTGTGCCGAAGGACTCTGCATAGGTTGTGAGATAGCTGGTTTGCTTGATCTTTCGTAGCAAATACCGAGCGATCATCGCCAATCCTGCATAGTGGAGCACCGTCAAAAGGAGCAACGCAGAAATTGACGCTCTTGCCAAGCTGCATCACATCCACCTGCTCAAGGTTGGCACCTTTGGGAAAGTAACTGGGGTCAACACTAGACGCATACGCCCACGGCATATGCACGTTACTCACGTCGCCATACGTATACTTCGGGATGTAGCATGGAATGGTGTCACATCCTCGCTCTAGCGTCGTCTTGAACGTTCTGTTGTCCCCGCACGGATTGTGGGTGAGGTCCACGCCACCGCATTGTAGCTCTCCTCCCTCAGCCGTGTCAGCCATCTCCACCAGGTTGATGGTATAGCTATACATTTCAATTGTTTCTTTCCCTGCTTGTCCTCCTCTCTTGCGTTCCTTGGACGTTGATGAGGACGGCTCTTCCGTATCCCCCATTTCTTCATCTGAGGAAACAGGATCACTGCTGAGTAGTTCACGGATCTTCTTCATCGCCTTCTCATTCCCAGCAGCCTCCTCATAGTCCTTGCAGTCGCCGTCGTGGGCCAGGTTCGCGCACTTCATACAAATTCCCATCTCTCCCATGCACTTCTCCATTGAGACCAGGAATCCGAGTGCTGCTCTCCGCCCATCAATCACTCGCTGCTTCTTTTCTTCCTTCTCAGCGTTGGGCTGAGAGCTTCGGCTCGGGTCTGGTGCTTGACCAAGACCGTCACCTTCGCCCTCCGTTGCCTTTCTCTTGGACCCTTGGGTGGCGGGCTCGGTCATCAGGGATCGCGGATGTCTGGGCTTGATCTTGTTCATGATGTCCAGCACTTCTTTCGTGGGCGCCCCGAGTTGGGCGGAAGGCTTATTCCGCTTTCGGTTCTGGCCCGTCGTGTGGCTCACGTTCCCGGCGAGGTGTCGTACGATTGACTGCTCGAACTCCCTCT